GTAAGCCAGCCTGAATTATGACAGGACCCTCCCCCTCTCAATGGGCGCTTTCAGGTGCCCTGCCTTGGCCAGAGGGCACAAGGGGCTGAAAGACACCCGCTTAAGGAACGAGATGTTCTTCCTGAACTGGGGAAAGGGGTGGTTGAGAGCCCAGAGATGTCATGAAAGTAGACCTGTGCCAGCAGTGGAGAGAGAATTCTGTGCACACTCCACCCAAGAGACAGCGGTCCGTCTGTCTGAGGGTGGTAACCAAAGGATAGGCTGGCCTTGGCAACATAGGCAGAACAGAGCAGAGGGTCTTCCAGAACTGGGACGAGAACTGCGAACAATAATGGTTGTCTTGAGACATGGATGGCTACCAGAATAGTTATTTTATTAAAGTGAGTGTGTGGTGGAAACTAGGGTGACAGGTGAGCGGGAATAAAAGACAAAATAGACGGTTAGAGGTCCACTACCTGGGTAGGTTAAGGTGAAATTAAACCACCGGGCCTGGAGAGAATTAAGCCGTTTGGTTGATCAGAGGTATGAGAGGTTTTTGTGGTCGGTCCAAAGTACAAATAGTTCTTCAACTACCTCCAGCCAGCGTCTCCACTCCCCTAGTGCCAAAACCACAGCCAACAGCTCTTGATTAGTGCTCTTGTAGTGTTTAGTGGTTCAACTCCAGCACGGGTTGTTTTGTTGTTTTTATGTGTCCAGACGACAAATGATTTTCAATTTTCACAATGAAAACAGTGTATATTTTCATCTGTTGTTGTTGAGACCAAAAGTTTTATATTTCAGTTTAACACAAAAACACTGAAAAAAAATCAGAAATAAATGCTGCTGAATTCTGATTGGTGCACAGATGTATGTTACATCAAATTTTTTTTTAAATGAGACGCGCCCACTTCAAGCCAGTAAAAAGAGCTCAGAGAAAAAAAAGAAATCTCTCATGTGAAATCACCTAAAACTTTAGAGCAGAACGTAATGTGTTCATGTGGCCTGATTGAGAAAATAAGTTTACAGTACCTTCAAAGTAATTGGGATTTTCCACATGGTAGTAAATAAGTTAATACAGCACAGGACGGAGCCAGCAGTCATCTGTCCTGCTGAGTGAGCTGTTGACTCGTCTCCTGCTGGTTCAATCTATCAGCACAAAAACACACGTGGTTGTTTTGACCCTGTTCTAGAAATATAAGGTCATAAAAAGCAACATCTTGGTAAGTATGAGTAGTGATCGAATAGAAAAAAAGTATTCCGATCTTTTAATTTGAGTAAATGTAGCAATACTATAGTATAAAAATACTCTGCAGCCCTGAATTCAGAGTTTCCCTTAATTGAAAGCACATCATCATCAGCAAAAATGTATTTAAAGTAAAAGTAAATCACTGGCGAAATTAACTTGACCAACTAGATTTACTTTACTTTTAGCAGCTGTACTGGTATTTTACCTCATCATATTTTTTTTGAACTGATCTTTATAAACCAATATTTTGTATAAAAAAACAAAGTAACTGCTAAAGCTGTTGAATAAAAGTAGTGGAATAAATTTTTTCCATCTGACATGTTGGAGAGTAAAAGTATAAAGAAGCTTAAAATGAAAAATCCTCAAGTAGATTAAGTAAAATACCTCAAAATGGTGCAACACTTAACCAATGCCGGTGGGGGGAGAAAAAAAAAAGGGCACCAGTGAGCAGAAAGTTGTGCTGCATTTATGGTGAAACAGGTTAATCATGGTTATTAGCACCCTAGAGAGAGCTGTATCATCCTTTATTTACCATAGCTGTGTTTTTTTTAAATAAAAAATAAATGACATTTATGTATTACTAATGTTTGCTTATTGTATCCATTCTCCTTCTATTGAAGGCACAGAAATATAAAGTCACTGTAATACTGTGTGACACAATATATCTCACATACTACAGAGATATTTGCTCCCTGTTATTTGGTCATGTGGATTATATTGTATGTATTTAATCTACAGATCATAATATGTGTTCAGCTGATCGTATTTGTATTGTATATTTATTTATTTATTACATTTCGGATCCTTTATTTAAAGTTTAAGTCACAATACCAGAATGTAAATTGCATAACTTTTACTGGCAGTGAGCATTATATTCCTATATATCATATTAATGAAATATTATTACTAATACTAATTTAATGTTGGATTCGGGGGAGGTGGAGCCAATTTGGGTAGTTTAGTCCAAGCATAATTTTAATTTTATTTTAATCACCAGTAACCAAGTACTGATCCTGGAGCTTGTTTCGGGCTAATACAGCTACTGAATGCAACAAACTGCATTTTAACCCCTTGAACAGTGTATTTTCTCCCCCTGGTCCACATTCAGGTATTGATTCACATAAGATTTATGTCCTGTGGGAAGAATACAATACATTATAAACACGAGAGCTGCCCACATAGTGCCTCCAGTGCACTAGTGATTTATGACATTTCATTTTTAGTTTGAGCCTCGCAACACAGTAATAACTTTAAAAGGGAATTCCATCTAACATTACATTTTATAGCATTTAAAGCTACTATAGTTAGGATTTCATATAATCTGGCACCTCCCAGTGGTAGAATAAAGAAATACACAATAAGTAGTAGTCACAATATTCCTAGACAATGATGAGCTACATCACAATGCCACTGGTGGAATATGATCTTTTAATTGAATAAAAGTTGTGATACCACAGTGAAGAAATACTCAAGTTACAAGTAAAAGTCCAGCCTTCATCATTTTCTAATTTTCTCTTGTAAAAGTGAAAATGTATTTGCATCAAAATAAACTTAGAGTATTAAAAGTAAAAGTAATCAAGATGAAAAATTGTCCATTTCAGAATTATACTGGATTATAATTACAATGTATATATAATGTGTATGTAAGCATCACTTAAATGTTGCAGCTGATATACACTATTCACAAAAAGTTAGGGATACTCTGCTTTCGGATGAAATTTCAGAATGTACATAAAATGCACTATAACCTTTCCAGGTGATCTTAATTTGACCTTCTACTTAAATGCCCTACTTTCATGATACAATATCACTGCAGCATCAACTTTTTACATTTTCCATAAATTTCACCCGAAAGTGGAATATCCCTAACTTTTTGTGAGTAGTGTAGTTAAATCAGTAGTTGGTCAATGTGGAGCTAATTTTAACTCTATAATGTTTATAATCTAACTTTAACTTTATAACTTTACGTTGTTGTATAGTTTAATATGCAACAGTACATCATATACTACAAGATGATCATATATTTTATATGTGAAATCTGAATCTGTAGTTAAATGTAGTGGATTACTCAAGTGGAGCAAAAGTACCTCATAAATGTGCTTTTCAACACTTCTGCTGGTAATCTGGACTGAACCATCATTCCCACATCATTGAGTGCTTTGATACGAACTACAATGATATTTACAAGTATATTACATATATTTTAAATGACTCATAATAATTTGCTATAAATACTGCGAGAAGGTATTGACTTGGATAAGAGAACTGCTTCAACTGTTACTTAGATAAATGGCGCCCTCTACTGTTACATTTTTGACTATGCTTTAATCAAAGTGACAGTCTTTTAAAAACAATAAACCATAAGTTATTTTTATGGATAGTGTGTCGATGCAAGTGAGGGCTATTTTATTTTACCTGCAGACATAAAATAAAAACTGAAAACACACATTTTTCACTTTATAATGGGCAGACAGTATTAGGTTTTCTTACAGGAGACTTTTTGACTTTGTCCCAGAAAGAAAAAGCACCAGGGAAATAATGAAACTATTGATGCTGAATTCCTCTTTGGAGCCTCAGTTTCAGGGTCCTGGTATTGTGCAGACTCACTGTCACAACGTACTGGGACACTTACACAGAAGATGGTTCATCCTCCTGAGATAACGTCTGTTATGATTTGACGACCTGCAAATAAAATTCAACTCAATTGAATATAATTAGCCTGCAGATTGAGAGATTTGATTGAATAAGCAGTTGAAGTTGACCAGCTTTAAAGGCTCTACACACACACATGCAGCAGTAGTATAGAAAAGTAATGCAGACCAAGGGTTGTAGTGAGGTGCTGATCACTGGAGATACTTGAGAGTCACACACTCTGGTCACAGTAAGACAAAGGCAGTGGAGTCTTGTAAAGGTAACACAGTCAGAGGGGAACCAGGGGGAGCCGTCTAAAATACTGACAATTTGCTATTTTTGTCATGCACTTCTATTTTTCTATATCTTCATCATCATGGATTATGTGAAAACTTTTGATTTAAGATTTGTGCATGAGGATGACTCATCACTGATTCACTTTAATAAAGATACTGTTATTCTTGCCATCTCCATTGAAGCGTGGTCGCACAGTATCATTAACTTCAGATCAGAAAATACACATAAAATAAACGTTTCTAGTTTCAGTCAGTCAGCGAGCTGAATCTCCATTATTCTCATTTGTTTTGTAGTCAGCACAGAGTGCGTCAGTCCAATAAGTAAATGTCTGAAAGCTTGCAGCTCGCTATAGAGTGTCCATTGTTTAGGGAGAAGTTAATGAGTGAACAAGGGATTGATTTTGAGCCTGTGAGACTGTAAAAAGACTGACACCTCTCTCAACCTCCTGTTACTGTTTTGCATCAATTCGGGTGGGAGAAGTTACACCTTTATAACTCTTATTGGTTTAAGGCTCTGCAACACTTTATTAGTCCACCTAGAGATAGTTTGTAGAGTATTTGTAAGAACTGCTTCACTTTGTTTGTAGATGTTTAACAGAACACCTATAGAGCTAAACCTAACCACATCTTAGGTGGTGGTGTAATATTATGTAAAATATTGTTAAATATATAACTATATAACTAATAAGCCAATAAAATGTTGCAAATTGTCTATACACTATCTTTAGGTGGACTATCTAAATGAAGTCTCATCAATATGTGGAAGCACAGGTGTGTTTGTACAGACACTTTAAAAGGTTGCAGTGTTGGAAAAGTGATGATGTGTTAAAGCAAAACATACAGCTGTGTTCAACCTTCACAGGTGGTTTTATTTTCTTGCAGTTAAATGTGATCGATGATTTGTAAAATAAAATCAAAGTGCTTGAAACTCTAGTTTTCATTAAAAAAACATGAACAGTACAACAGTAAACGGTCTGTGAATATTGGTCCAGTAACAGTGTGTCACGTTGGTCTTACAGGACACACAGTACAAGCTAAAGGCTCTTTGTGTTACCTGAGATTTCATGAGGGTTTCTCTTCGTTCATAGCTAAAACAATGAGTGTGTTCATGAGATGTAGCTTACAAAATATGGTTTCAGTCATTCATGATCAATGCACAAGCTTAAATCACTGATAGGAGAGTGAACAGGAACATCGGAGTAGCTGGTCAGAGTTATTTCAGGACTAGAGATGTTTTTTCATTCTTAAAACTGTGACTTTAGCCAGATTTACAATCCAAGAGGGAGCCTGTGTGTCGGTGTGTGAGAGGACCTGGCTGAACCCCAGTTTCTTGTACAGGGCCACAGCGGCGGTCTGAGTGGAGCTGGTCTCCAGCACCACCTCGGAGAAGCCTCGTTCCTTACAGAAGTCGACCACAGTCTGAGCCATCCTGACGCCCAGGCCCATCCGTCTGCACGATGGTGAGATGATCATCCTGAACAGTTCCCCGTAGCTTTTTTCCCCACTTTGTTTGGCCACTACAGCTACCATACCCATGACCTCGGCCCTCCCGTCAACCTCGGCCTCAGCCACCCAGAAACAGTCATCCGGTCTGCTCAGATAGTTCCCGGGGATGTCCTGCATGTCTGTCTGGAGTTTCTCCCTGACGTAGCTGGAGTATAGCTCATGACAGCAGTAGTAGACGAGGCCCACCCAGACTCCCGGTAACACCACGGCCCCCAGCACGGAGCCGACGAGGTAGCCGGAAGCACACAGAGTCAGGGTGACGGCGAGGTAGACAGGGCTGCTCATGGCGTTGTGAAAACATGGTCGGATGTGCTCCTTGATGCCGGTGCTGAACAAGGAACGCACCGTGTCCTTGTCTGAGGGACGGTACTGGCGGATCACCAGCTGCATGACGGGAAGGAACTGGAGGGAAATAAAATACTGGATTCACATGTGAAGCTAAATACTAAATAAACTCTCTTAAGATGCAACTAATGATGATTCTCATTATAGATTTATCTTCTGGTTATCTCAGTTAATTGTTTTGTGAAGTCAGATATCTAAATGTTCCGTGTCTAAAACTTCTTATATGAGACTCGATGATTTGTGTAATCGCTGCTTAAGATGGGCTGTATAAAATGTACAACATAGCATTAGTAATGGTTTCTAATTTAACATTTTCAATTAAATTCAATGATGCTGCAACTACTGACTTTCAGTATTGTGATGTGATTATTCAATTCAATTTTATCTGTGTGTATATATATATTTAACTGTCATTAATCTAAGACACTAAGTTGTTTCTGTATTTCATTGTTCGACCCTCAGGAGGACTAGTGTGTGGTCAGTACACGTACACAATAATGAACTTTTTTTGTACTTTAAGAAAGTAAAATCTACTTTTACTCCACTATATTTATTAGATAACTAGTTACTGTTCTTTTTTTTACAGACTCAGATTAATACAAAATATAGGCTAACAAAACCTTTATTCAACAACAATAAACTAATTAAAAATGATGTGTTATTATAGATTCAGCTACCTAATGTAGTTAAAATGAGCTCCTCCTTTACCAGCTACAACATTAGTTCTGATTAATGCATCAATCATTATAATCCAATAATATAATATTTATTACTCTGAAATGGGCCGTTCTGCATAATAACTTTTACTTGCTGCCAGATATGGTTAAAACATCACATTGCGATTATTTGGTTAGATATTGCGATATGACTCATGATTCGTGTGGGAATGATAATTTTTGTATCACAAATGTAATTGTCACTGAAAAAAAACCAACAACTATTAAAGTCCTAATGATTAATGTAATTTAGGTCTGTACCAAACAAGTATGTTTTCTTAAATCTGGAGAACAAGAGCACCTCTTCAGCGCCACAGTAATTCAGTATGATGATGTTTTGTCTTCTGTGATTTGCTTATTGCGATTTTTATAATATTTTTGAATAATTGTGTAGCCCTCTTCAGGACTTTTACCTGTAAGTGTTTTAATACTATACTGTGTGCTAGAGAGTACTTTTTCCACCTCTAGTTTTCAACAACATAGACCCACTGACTGATAAATAAAACTACAGACAGCTAACTAATAGTTATTGTTATGAATGTGGCCACACCAGCTAATACCGATACCATGGTTACAGCGGCAACGTCACCACACGATAACCAAATACAGAACATCAAGATTACGTCACACATCATTCGGTCGGACGTTACCCGTTGAGCCGTTAGTTTCAGTTTGTAACGTTTGAATTAACGTTAACGTACCTCAACGGTAGTTTAATTTAACTTTAGTAACGTTACAGGCCTGCGAACTTAGTTAGCTTTGATTTATTTTATTTTTTTAACGTTGAACTGATTTAATTCGCCGCAAAACACGTAAATACGCAGTGTTTAGTCGTTTCCTAGCTAGCTAACGTTACATTAAGATATCGTTGAAAAACGACGCTTTCTTACGTTACCGATACAACCTGTGAAACTGGGTCTTTGTCCAGAGGAGCAGCACAGTTCAACTGCCGGCTCACATGAACTACGAACCACCAGAGGAAACACCGTAAACCGGTTTAAAAGTTAACTTTGCCGGGGGGAAACAGCCACATAATCCCGGCGTTGACTGACAAAGAGGTGATATCTCTATCTCTCGGAGACGTCGTTGGATCTTTATGTCGCGGGGTCGAAGTACAAGCGATAACAGTAAACGTTAAAAGCTAACTGTGTAGTCCGTGCGGCAGTGTTATTAATTGTTGGGGGACACAAGGCAAACCACTGTACAGCCGGCCATTACCCAACATGTTACACCGTGAGGAGTCTTTTCTAAGTGAATCACTAAGATAATATTTCCACATACCGTTCTCCACAAATCCCAATGCCTGATACCGGATGCAGTATGGTGTCACCATCCATCCACTAACAAAGCCCTCTGAATGAGAGGCCACTAATGTTATCTTAACAGCAGTCAACACCCTCAGACTGCAAACTAACACACGGATTTTAATGCAACAACTATTTTAACTTCAGTTTTAAATGTGTGCACACGGTGGCGTCAACAGGTTGGGGGGGCTTTAATTAATGGTAATTAACCAGTAATTAACCCAGTACCTTCAATCCCCGCTGACTAAGACTGGTTTAACTGGTTTAACTTCAACCAAACTTCTTGCACAAACTATTTATCTTTAATCTTTGTCTCTCTTTAAGTCTTTAAGTTTGCACATGTACTGTTTAGTTTTTCAAAAAGTATAGTGTATATATTTTTCATTTAAAGTCTTATATTTTCTATTATATTTTCTAATATTCTTATTTTGTGATTCTTATTGTACATTTCTGTACTCTTTGCACTACATTACCCAATGCTGCTGTGTCTAACTTGAATTTCTCCTACAGGGGATCAATAAAGGTATTATCTTATCTTAATTAAAAACAGTTTTTCTTTCTGTCTGTTTCAAGAAGGAATTATACCAATTTAAATAAAATGCATCCACTCAGCCAGGTTCCCGATAGTGATGTTGTTTGTGTCCTTTTAATGAACGATAGAAGTAAAATAAATGAAGACACGACAGAACAATAGAAGTGATCTTATAATATAATATAATATATATTAGTTAACATAGTTAATATACATAAAATCTTCAACACGCTTGTGAAATAGCGTTTGATGTTTTTACATTATTCAAGGTTTTTATACCAAGTATAATGTCAACATTATGGCATTTTGTAAATTATAAGGTTTAGCATATTAATTTCAGTGATATATATTCCTAAATGTGAGTCAACTCACTAAAAAGAGCCAGAATTCCCCTTCACAACCTCTGAACATAACAATTCAAATGTTTATGTGTTCAATGGTGGCTATTTCACACAAACAATCAGAGCTTTATTAGGGGACATTATACAGTCCATGGCCACTATATAAAAGAGATAAAAACTTAAATCAACTAGTTTTGATAAAAGATAAATTCTATGATTTCTTAGATTTTGCCCCCATTGTTTTTACTGTACGCAAACGAACAGCGCTGTTTCTTAATGTTTTAGTCTTCTACACGAGTCGTCAACTGTTGAGGATGCTGAGTGTTTGTTGTTTTTGTTGTTTTAATGATTAATGTAATTTTTAGTTTTACACATTTTTTAAGTTTAAACTGACAGAAACGCAGAAAATTGCTAAAAATGTTTTAGCTTGGCTGAGCTGGAAAAGTTGGTTAAGTTAGCGATTGAAGCTAAATGAGACAAAGTGCAATGGAAACAGACTTATAGGCAAATAGATAAATAAATAAATGACTAAAACATCCAGTGGAGCTCCCGCCTAACGACATATCGAAGACGAAAACATAAGATCTACGTGGAGCAATGAGACTGGACAATCCTCAGATTAATACATTTATTTGAACTGTTTGAGGTTCGACTGGAACTCTTTTAATTCCATCATCTTGTTCTGCAGTGGTTTAATGGCACATGGAGAATAAGCGCCACCAACTCTTCATTTCATTGCACTTAACTTCAAATATTTGTAGCTGCAGTGGATGGAAATAGACACAAATTTACAAGAAGAAGGAATTAAGGAAACCTGACTAGTGATAATCTAACCATCTATTCAGGGTTTAGTCTGCAAACACATTTCCCTCCCTAAACCTATATTTTCTGAGTGATTTCTTGAGATAAAAGTTGACTTCTGGATGTCCCTTTACTCCAGTTTGGGGACCGTGTTTGCACAGCAGTGTGTTTGACAGACAAACATCATCTTAGTGGAGTAAAACACAGGGGGAGTTTTACAATATCTGGTACCACTGGCAGACGGGGGTGGGTAGATGTGGCACAAACCTAATTGGTCAGTGATATCAATAAAACAACAGAGAGAGAGAGACACAGAGTCATCAGGGCCACGATGAAGACTTTGTGTGTTGCTGTAGTTGTGCTCAGTTTCTCCTCGGTGTGCCAGCCTGCATCGCTGGCCTGTGAGAGGTTGCTGAAGCCAGAAGCCAGAAATCCAGATGTAAGTTTCTTACGCTAACTTACTTTTTCTTGATATGAGTTACGGGAAAGACAATATTTACATTAAATATTATATTATTAAAGAATTCAACAATATTTCCGTCTTTTATTTCAGCTGACTGGGAGATGGCGCTATGTAGCCTTGTCCAGTGACTTATGTCCTACTAGAACAATAATGGAGTCTGTTTTTCGGCCAGCTATGGAAATGAACATCACCTCTGAAGTCACACCGAACGTCTACAGTCTCGGATTTAAGTTTAAAATGTACGCATTTTATTTCATATTTTTATTTATTTTTTACTTATAATTGTGATTAAATTGCTGACATGAATCTTGAAGTGTCCTGTGGAATATAATCTTTTTTGTCACATCATTGACAGACTTGGGATGTGCATCCACAAATCACATTTTTCAACATTTGTTTATGAGAACAACACTGTGAGTGCTGCTGACAGCAACAGTAAGAGTCTTGTTTAATATACATTGTGCTCTGGTGTTTCTTTCTTTGTCTCAGCTCCTTCTAATCTCTATTAAACTTTAAAGATGAGATAGTACCTTATTGATCCCCCAGAGAGGGGAAATTCAGTGTTACAGTAAGCAGCACAAGGCAGAACACAGTGAGATAGATAAAGTAAATAAATTTAAACAAGACTGATTAAACTCAACATTACAGGCAATAGCAGCACACATACACACCATATATGCACACATATACGGTGAATTCTTCAGTGTAAAAATATGAATGAGTGCCAATGTAATTATGTTAACGATGATAATTAGTATTATTTTTTTTAATAACATTTTGATACAAATGTAGAGTTAATGTGATTATGATATTATGTTCTTAATGTAAACCATTTATTGTATCATTGTTTCCAACAGATGCCTCACCCAGTGAACCCATTGTACTGCTACAAAGTGGGTGTCCTGACTGCATCATTTTACGTAACGATGCCATCCATTCCCTTATTCTTCTAAGTAAGGAGATCACAGGAATGATAAGATAATCATATTAATATGTAATAATATATAGTAATTGTGCTCACCAGGTCTCAGGGAGACTAATCCCCTTTTTCATGGCTTCAGACCATTCATAGTTCATGATTTCTATATAGAGGAAATCATAAAACTATAATCCAGACATTTGTACAGTTAACTACCTAATGAAGTGGAAATCCCTAACTAATGAATAAGGGTATATTAACTTGAATGAGAATTTCAATATGCACTGTATAAATATAGATATTAACAGAAATTGTTTAGCTGTCCGGTGATAATATCATCTGAAATGTGTCCGCTTGTCACCAGGTAGGAGAGAGACGGTCACTGCTGCTGAGATGAAGGAGTTTGAGACACAGGCAAAGTGTTCGGGTTTGCCTGAACCGCAGCTCTTCATGTCAGATCACGGTGAGACTGTCCGATTTTTGAAGACTTGAAAGATTATACTATATACTTTGTCAATAAGAATGTAGAGTCTTGTATCAGAGAGTCAACAGTGGGATGTTGCCCATACTTTTATTGGAAAAGTGTTTATATGCATTAAGATATCTTTAATGTAGAGGTATTAAAAGAGACTGTTGTTAGTGGTGCTCTAACACAAAGGTGGTATCTACCATTTTCCTCTCTGCATATTACTGTGTCGTAACATAATAACTGTGTGGTATAATAAAACATTAACACACATTAAACGTACATTTGCCATGTACATCAGAGAATGTAGCATAAACCACTGCCTTTCTGTTCTCTCTACAGTCTATGAAAACTGCACCATGCTTGAAGACTTTCTACACACATTTTCCAGTCAAGTAGACATCGAGAAAGCTCGGTCCCTAAATGAGAAAATTATGAATTGTAGGCAGCAAAGGTAGCTCACCTGGTTGAGCGTGTACCATGTATCATGGCTGAGTCCTTAACTTCAGCGGCCAGAATAATATCCAGAACGAGCCCTTTGCTCCATGTCATCCCCCTGCCTTTCCTTTGTTCTCTACTGTCCTATCAAATAAACCCCAATAAATGATCAAATTGCAATACAAAAGTAAATGTCCATCACGTGTTTGTTCTGTGCATGCCAATGTGTCTACAGGTGTGTCTGAATACTTCCTCGCAATGTATCATCAAACAGGAGTCTACAGCCGGCTCTGTGAGGCTGCACTCAGACGCAGCTAACATCTGAATGCTGATATGCTCACAATGTGACAATGCTCACATACTGATGATTAGCAGGTGTAACGTAACTACGTCTTATCACCATCTTATTTTACCGTGTTAGCATGCTTACATTTGATAATTAGCGCTAAACACAAAGTACAACCAAGGCTGATGGGAATATATTTAGATTTGGTATTAGATATTTGGTCATGTATTACTTTTGAATTAAATTTTGACTTGAGGATGCTACTAAAGGAAAAGTCAGGGGATGAAAAATGGAAAATGAAAAATCGGATTTTGTGCCCCTCCATCTAGTAGATGTTGAGACATTTCACGGGATATGTGAGAACTTTGACCTGCTGGTGGCGCCGAAGCAATTGTGATCACCAAAGTCAGTATGATTCATCCTCTGGGAATAATGAATACCTGCAGAGAAATTCATGGCAATCCTCCGAGTAGTTGTACAGATAATGGATATCTGGACCAAAGCAGTGATACAGATTATCATTACTATCCCTATAGAGCTGTGCTGCTAGTATGCCTAAAAATAACTCTCAACTCACTCAACATCGATTGACATAAGGTGACGTTATGTTGTGTAGAAGGGTTATTTTTCAGGTATAAACATAAAAAACTACAGGGTTTGGTATTTAAACTACTGGAGTTTGGGGGAGTTACTAATAGTGCTCAGATCCTCATTTAATTTAACCATAGAAACTCAAAGTTACTATGTGAAGAACTTGTTTTATCCATTCAAATGATGACTGTAGTGGCTATTTCTTCTCCAAAAAAATATTAAAATTACATTAATTTAAAATATCAACTTACAATCAAAGGCCACTCAGGGTCAGTTTGGTTGTAATTAAGAAGTCCATTGTCTCGGCAGGATTCAGGTTTGAAGGCTGATTTATTTTACAGTTCAAGAGCAAACATACAAGTAAAAAAAACAAACATATCCCTTCCTGGTGCTTTCCCTGACACTTACACTAACTTAACTAAAGCTATTTTATCCTTTTCCTTACAAGTGCTTGGTCGAGTGCTTAGTGCCCCCTATTGACTACAAAATAATATACAAACAAATGCAAAAATAACAAATAATAATAAAAATAATGAAATAGCTGCTACAGTGTCTTATGAAAATAAAAGCCTGGTGCCAAGCTGCAAAGAGAAATGCTTGAAAGTTGGTTAACATACATAGTTTGTTTGGGTTCTGAAAATATTCTGTACATACTACAAGCTTCTGGTGATTTTATGCTACATGTCTACTCATCAGTATTTTTGTCTGTCAGATGTGTCACAGAAGATCTCACTTCCTTTTAGGCTTTAATTGAACACATTTGGGGAAGTACACTTGTTTCCGGTTTTATTCAGAGACTTTTAAGAATATTATATTTTGTGTCCAATACAGAGACACAGTGCACAGTTCAACATACAGAGAGCATTAAACCCAGCTTCTATTAGCTTAGAGATTGAATCTATACATGTGAATCTTTAGTTTATGATAGACAGGAAGTAACTACACAAATACATGCACAGAACAAACTGCAAAACTAAAGTGAAAAAACAATGGGCTCACAGCTTACAACAAACCTATAAAAACACAGTGCAACTGATAACATAACCAATAAAATACAGAAAATATAGGAATTTCTGAAGTCAAAGAAAATGTCCCTGTATAGTCATATAGCCATTAAGAACAAAGAAGCACACAAACACAAAGTTAATATTTCTTCACTCTGTTTTGGCCACACTGTTCATGTTAATACTGAGATTGTTGTCTGTCATCTGTCATTTTCTTCTCCACATTGAAAACACGTCTACAGATTTTCAGGTACGCAGTTTTGATCTTTTGTATTTTGAACGCATACACAACCGGATTTACAGCTGAGTTAGTGTGAGAAAGCAGGATGCCGACATAGAAAGCTGTTACTGGTACATAATTCGGCTCACTAAAGTTAGCAATGCAGTTCATTATGTGGAGAGGGAGCCAGGACAGAGCGAACAGAGCCAAGACCAGAGACAGAGATCCTGCCAGCTGTTTCTCTTTCCTTAGGTAGTTCTGACACCGTTGGAAACCGTTGCCTGGTTTCTCTCGAAGACTTCCTCGAATATTGCAGAAAATGTAGCCATACAATACAGTCATCACTGATAAAGGGGTGAGGGTACAGAGAAAAAAGTTAAAGTAAACCAGGTATGACATGGGGATCACTGCTATAAACTGACAGACAATTCTAGAGTTGACCGACTTAGACAAAGTTTCCTGGTTGTACCACCCAAGCATGGGAGCAAAACTCAGTGGTACAGCAACAAGCCAACATGCAGCTACCACAAGCCAAGAATGTCTCTGTGTTACAGTCCTCTTGTACCTGTAGAGAAAAGCACAAATGATTGATATAATCCACAATTATTTTTGTATTTGTGTGTTCTGACACAAATTAATAAATCAATATAAAAAATGAATGTGAAAATGGTGTGATAAAATTGATTAACACATAAAGCTTACAAAGATTATTTTTAGGACAATACTGTGTACTGAACCATTCAGGAAGCATTAGTATGTCTGAATAATCTTACCTGAGGGGGAAATACACACGGAGGTATCGGTCCACTGCAATAGCAGTGAGAGACAAAATTGAGACTAGGGTCAACAGGATGACCACACAGCTGATGAAGAGGCAGCCGTGGAATGAAGTCCTCACTTGTCGATCCATCAACACGGCCAAAGGAATGGCCACGCAGCCAACCATAAAGTCAGCCACAGCCAGACAGACAATAAGGCAGAAGGTAGGCTGATGAATGCTTTTACTGGTCCACAGTGCCAAAATAACCAGTAAATTACCAAGACAGCAGCTAACAGCAATGAGCACCTCCAGCAACATGTAGATCACTTCTCCCACACCCATTGTGCTTCTTATCCGACAAATGGGTAATGGTGTGGTGTAGCTGAATGTGAGTCTGAGCCTGAATGTGAAAAAACTTTGAGGAAGTATGTATTAAACTAAAAGCAAACTATGTGGCCAAAAGCAAAGGAAACCACAAAGCCACATCCTTGAGCTTTATACCTTCAAACAGAACCACTTCTGAAAGCACCTCGACTGGTCTTGCTGATGTTGTGTTGCAGATCTGGTGGCACATTGCAATTTTTGGTACACAATTTCATTTGAAATAGCCTTTCTGCTTATTGAGGCTTATTTTTTGTTGCCAGGGCAAGCTCTGTCAATGGAGGTGCATGCACAGTTCTCTCAACAAGACACAGTTCATGTATGTTGAATTAGTACTTTATGGTAAGTGACCTGTTTTGAAGGCTTTTATAATTTAATAAATTACACTAAGGCTTTATGGATGAGTTAAAAGCCATTATTAAATTAATTCACTCCTATCTTCTGTACAGTCTTCTTATCTTTTCTTATCTTTCTATTTTTAAAAAGTACTTTATTCTTGCGTGATTTTTGTATGATTTGAATATTTTTGTATGACATATATATTTTGCGTGATTGTATATTTTAAGCACCAATGCACAAAGACAAATTCCTTGTATGTGTAAAAACCTACCTGGCAATAAATCTGATTCTGATTATTAGGAACAATGTTTGGGTTCTGGATGGGGTTAATGTTCCTCCAGCACGAACTTGCTCGTTAATTCAACAAGAACACCTCACAAATGGACCGTTTGACCACTTATCCTCTTGAAAGGGGTCATCTGGACCAAAATCCATTCATAATTATTAACATTTACAACTGCAGACTTAATGGACTTCTGTGCAAACTGTTAACAATCTTTCATCTACATTTAGCTCCTGTGGTTTTTCGACACAAGATTTATCCTAAAACACTTTTTTGATCCTCTGACTTTCTCCAGCACTCTCTACCAATATCTGTTTTTGGTACAGACATGCATATTTCCCTGAATTTTAACAACCTAAACTTTTCATCATCAGGTCAAAATCTTAATTTGTTCATTACTTTGGCTTATGACCAAATATCTTCAAAATGAATGACATTTCCCATCATTCTCAGCTGTACTTTGTGTTTAGTGACAGTTAGCAAATGTTAGCACCTTTCACAACAGTTTCAATGTCTATTTATGTAGAACATAACATATTTGAACACCTACTGTATTTGTTTCAGATTAAAAGCTGATAGCAGTAGCTCCGCAGCAGAAACGCTCTCTTTGTGGTCACCTCAGTCGTCCAAGCTGCATTGTGGGAGAATAGTGTTCGCCAACAGCACACACAAGTATCAGAAATATTAAGTATGCCTACTGTTTGGCTTCAGGGTACTTCATTTTGTTCCTTTTCTAGTGTAAATATACTGCATAGTCAAAACCACCTTGAACTGACTCAGTGAGAATTATGGATTCTGGACACACTGTTGGTCTGTTAGTCTTGTTTGACCAAATTCGGACCTTGAGTATTGGAAACACAACCCCACATAGACCCCTGGTCCCGTTAGTTTGGGAATCGCAGTTGGCAACATGCTAGTTTGTTTGATAAGTAAATGTTAGGGCTTACTGGAAATGCTAACATTTGGGGTTAACATTCAGTTCAGCTTTGAGGGCAGACAGCGGTGGGTCGACCAGGCACGGAAACAATTGGTTACTGATATCAATATAAGAAAGACCTGAGAGAGGCGAAGAGGCATCACAACCATGATGAAGACTTTGTGTGTTGCTGTCGTTGTGCTGAGTCTCACCTCAGTGTGCCAGCCTGCGTCGCTGGTCTGTGAGAAGTTGCTGAAGCCAGAGATATAGATGTAAGTCTCTCTCACATTTATAACTTTTTTGTATTTTTTTTAAACTACTTCATTAGAAAAAAAAAAACTTCCATCTTGAATCTACTGTCTAAGTCATATTAAATAAGTAAAATTATCTTCTTCTTCTTCTTCTTCAGTTCCTTGGGAAATGGTACATCGTAGCCATATCCTCAGAGAGCTGCTGGCTTAATGCATTCAATGTTGTTTTTGAGCCAAGTGGTGGTATGAACTTTGCCTCAAAGGACACATCGAACATCTACGAAAAAAATGTGAGCAAATGTTCTTTTTACTTGTATTGATAGTTGATTTCATTTGTTGGCATGAATTTGTATTTATGAGTTATACGTCACCATGTCCTGTACAGTTGTTTTTTTCAGTTTTTTAATATTTAATTAATCCTTTGCAGGCACGGATATTGCATAAATGAGACAGAATCAATTTTATATCAGAACAACACCATGTTTGATCTCGACGTTAATAGTAAGAGTTTTGTTTATCAATCTTGTTATATCCTCAATAATGATATTTGTATTCGTAACATTTTGTGTTTGTGATACTTTGGGTTTAATGTAAATCGTAACAACCACATTCTTCTAACGTTTCAAATAGATACCGTAACTGGTAAACCAGATAAGTTGATGCAAAGTGTGTGTCCCGACTGCATCGTTGGACAGACCGCTGACAATGACTTCATGAGCGGTCTTTGGCTCTTAAGTAAGGAGAATATGGAGGATGTGTGTGAAATTGTCGTGGTGTAGGTTAAACTGGTATGCGCTGTAGATATTATAAGACAGAGTATAATCACAAGGCTATTATCTGAAATGTGTCTCCTCTTTAACAGGTAGGAGGCAGAAAGTCACTGCTGCTGAGCTGGCGGAGTTTGAGGCACAGGGAAAGTGTCTTGGCCTGAAAAAAATGGTGCTCTTCGGTACAAATCACGGTAAGTTCATGTAGAGGGAGATCTTTACAGTCAATACATGACAACAAAGTGGTGCTGTACCATGAAAGTGATACCAACTAGGGATGAAACGGTTACCGGTTTAATGATAAACCACGATAAAACTCAATTTATTATTATTAAAACTGTCTTTAATTATGCATCCAGCATCAACCAAACTTAGCAACAGTCTCCCAGACGCAGGTGTAGCAGAGTGCTGAGGAAAGTTGGACCCATGGTGGAAGAAATAAATAAAATTACTCCTAAATGGGGCAACACTTGACCACCACTAATTTATAGCGAATGCAAGGCAAAGTTAACTTTTAGCTCAATGCATGATGTGGCCCCTTTGCAATGGGGGAAAATGTCACGTTTTCTGTCTAACTTGCTCATAGTTTGTTAATAATGTAAACTGAAGCTTTCAGTGTTTCCTACTCTTGTAAAAACACGACACGTAGCTCTGCTGCTGTTTGCGTCGCACATCTGCAGACTATATTCACCCACTGCACAGGACAACACGTTACGTAGTTTAGTCAGGCAAACAAACTATTTTGTCATTTTGAATCAATATAGACTCTTATACAAGACTCCTCTGTATTTATTGTTGGTCTCAATGGAACTATTATCACTGTCTTCTTAAGACTCATTTTTATTTATGTAAATTGTGCATTGGTGAATATTAATGCACATTTGATATGGTTTTCAGATGTGGCTGTTATTATTTTAATGTTTATACAAATAAAACTTACATAGTGCTGCTAGTTTTATTTATAGTTTTCAATATATAACCAGGTGAAGTCATTTCTTTACCTTAATCTATGAACATTTTCAGCATTTTCTATTAAAGGCATACTATGCAGTTTTCCGGTTTTGTCAAACAGCTACCCCTAGAGTCGCTGTGGAGTACTTGTATTTAACGTTAACTGTCGTAAATACCACTCACCAGAGCCGTCTCTATATACGACTCTGCGTCTCTGCACTCACGGCCTGATCCCCTCCCCCCTGTATACCGGTACATGTTCAGTATGATGGAAGCGTCGGACATCGAACAGGCAAAGATAGACTCCGAAGATGTCTACTGAGCAGGTAACGTCTGAGTGAATGCCTGCTAGTGTCTTCCATTGAGGCTGCTTCTTATGTCGCTGATGTATGTGACGTCACGCCGTAAAGCAATTGGTGATTCTCGCGAGATTTGGCGGGACGCCACCTTTCAGACTTGCATTGCTGGTTCTGCCAACGGCGTCCCTCTCCTGCTTTGCTATCGGGATGATTCGCTATACTACGAGTTTCGTTTACCATCAAAATTACGTCAAAGCTGTTATATTAAGGTAAAAATCTTGCATAGTGTGCCTTTAATAATTCGGCATGATCATACTGATAACCGTCGTAATTTTGGTCATTATAATTAAGATATGGCATTTTCATACCATTTCAATACCTACCATTTCATTCTCTGAAGTGGCCTTGTCTTACTACAGCGTACCACATACAATATGCAGTGCCAAGACAAGATTAATTGTGAGGTTATTATTAATGGTAATGCATTTAGGAATTTTCTTTTTTGTTCCCTGCACAGACTATGAAAACTGCCCGCCATGGGAAGACATGGACGAAGAATTTACGGATTTATATGAAAATCTGAAAAGTAATTTTGCAGTTCCTCTTCTGTGTATTATACAGTCTATTAATTTCCACGAACTCCTGTATGAGTGGGCTCAGGAAACGTGGACTTCTCTTTGGTGAATGTGCTAGGCCACAGCCAGAAACCCACTTTCTCTTCAGGTTTTTAATGGGTCCCTGCTAAGTGCTCATTTACAGACAGTCTATTAACTCTTTGGGATAATTCAGACTGTTTTAAACACAAAATAACCCTGTAATCAGATATATTACAACCAATAAACATTTGGACATTTTAACACAATTCATATGACCACAAAAATAATTAAACCTTATATTGTGTTCGTGCACATATATATCTGGAACTAGGAAGCTCTACAGTACCATCACTTTATCAATCCATTATTGAATTGAATTGTATAATATTGCAGGAATTCTGCCTTAAACATGTTTATAAAAGTGACCAAAGCACTGTCCCAGCTTGCTGTGATTTATATTTACTTAAAAACTCACTGTCACACTGTCATGACTTGCTGTGTTAACAGTAACGTGAGCTTTTCCTAGTTTAGCCTAAATATAATTTAATGTTAAACCTCTATGGCCTCAAATGATCTCTTCAGATTTGTTCAACGATTCAGTGAAAATAAATGAATGAAATGGCAGTTCAGTCTGATTATTTCTTTGGACGATCCTTCATGGGGAGTAGTGAACTACATGTAATTAAATTAGTAGTTTAACTACATTTTGCAGTAGCTTGCTGATAGTTCAGCTACATTCATATTTGTACAGTGATTACTTTTTTTGTCACATTTTGCGTTAACTATTGAAACTACAAACAATTTTAGAACAGTGCTAAATCAGTCAAACAAAACAGTAAACATAAGATTCCTTGTCCTTTGGGATTGTCTTGTTTAGGACAGGTTTAGGGTATTCTGGGAAGGTGGAGTGTTTTTAATGGTCTGAATCTGAATTAGTTAAACTAAATGTAACATTACAACAGCATGAAATAGATGAAACTTTGGATTTCTGGGGTAGGAACCAATCCAGCCCTGAGAGAAGCGACAAGTTGCCAATGACCAGGATTTGTTTTGTTTTTTTCATCTTCACATCTTTAACATGTCTTTAAAACCCCAAACTTTTATTAAAGCAAAACCCACTTTACCTTCACATCAGGGAATCAGTGGCAGCTGGTTGAGTGACTGACAGTTGATCTTCAGCTTATTCTGTTGTTGCCTAGTAACGCCAACTCCGACGTCTAGCCTCGATGCTGCGTTTTGCTTTGAATGTTATCATTAAAAATGAAAATAAGGCTAAATTAAAATGGTTTCCTTTTTTTTAAAGTGTGTATTAAATAAAACGTCTTATGTGAATTAATAAAGTGTGCGTATGTTTTCCTTAAAACGGCACCTCAGACAGTGAAGCATCGGCTCTAGGACCTAGGTGTGAGGCAGACACCGGTTGATGAGATGGTCCACTCGGCATTACAACATCTAAAACCACAAAGCCACTTCCTTGCTGTATACCTTTTAACAGAACCTGAAGTGGTGTTGCAGATGTTGTGTTGCAGATCCGGTGGCACATTGTAACGTTTGGTACACAATTTCATTTGAAATAGCCTTTTCTGCTTATTGAGGCTTATTTGTGTTGCAAGTGCATGCAATGGCGGTGCATGCACAGTTCTCTCCAAAACAACAAGACATAGTTCATGTATGTTGAATTAGTACTTTATGGTAAGTGACCATTTTTAAAGGCTTTATAATAGTTAATAAATTACACTAAGGCTTTATGGATAAGTTAAAAGCCATTATTAGGATAGGAACAATGTCTGAGTTCTGGATGCTCCTCCAGCTCGAACTTGCTAGTTAATTCAACAACCTGACAAGAGGATCAACATTTCTCAGTAACTTCATTTTGTTCCTTTTCTAGTGTAAATATACTGCATAGTCAAAACCACCTTGAACTGACACAGTGAGTATTATGGATTCTGGACACACTGTTGCTCTGTTAGTCTTGTTTGACCAAATTTTGGACCTTGAGTATTGGAAACACAACCCCACATAGACCCCTGGTCCCGTTAGTTTGGGAATTGCAGTTGGCAACATGCTAGTTTGTTTGATAAGTAAATATTAGGGCTTACTGGAAATGCTTACATTTGGGGTTAACATTCAGTTCAGCTTTGAGGACAGACAGGGGTGGGTCGACCAGGCACGGAAACAATTGGTTACTGATATCAATATAAGAAAGACCTGAGAGAGGCGAAGAGGCATCAGAACCACGATGAAGACTTTGTGTGTTGCTGTCATTGTGCTGAGTCTCACCTCAGTGTGCCAGCCTGCGTCGCTGGCCTGTGAGAAGTTGCTGAAGCCAGAAGCCAGAGATATAGATGTAAGTCTCTCTCACATTTATAACTTTTTGTATTTTTTTTAAACTACTTCATTAGAAAAAAAAAAACCTTCCATCTTGAATCTACTGTCTAAGTCATATTAAATGAGTAAAATTCTCTTCTTATGATATTTCAGTTGCTTGGGAAATGGTACATCGTAGCCATATCCTCAGAGAGCTGCTGGCTTAATGCATTCAATGTTGTTTTTGAGCCAAGTGGTGATATGAACTTTGCCTCAAAGGACACATCGAACATCTACGAAATCACCGTTAGGGTAAAAATGTGAGCAAATTTTCTTTTTACTTGTATTGATAGTTGATTTCATTTGTTGGCATGAATTTGTATTTATGAGTTATACGTCACCATGTCCTGTACAGTTGTTTTTTTCAGTTTTTTAATATTTAATTAATCCTTTGCAGGCACGGATATTGCATAAATGAGACAGAATCAATTTTATATCAGAACAACACCATGTTTGATCTCGACGTTAATAGTAAGAGTTTTGTTTATCAATCTTGTTATATCCTCAATAATGATATTTGTATTCGTAACATTTTGTGTTTGTGATACTTTGGGTTTAATGTAAATCGTAACAACCACATTCTTCTAACGTTTCAAATAGATACCGTAACTGGTAAACCAGATAAGTTGATGCAAAGTGTGTGTCCCGACTGCATCGTTGGACAGACCGTTGACGAAGACTTCATGAGCGGTCTTTGGCTCTTAAGTAAGGAGAATATGGAGGATGTGTGTGAAATTGTCGTGGTGTAGGTTAAACTGGTATGCGCTGTAGATATTATAAGACAGAGTATAATCACAAGGCTATTATCTGAAATGTGTCTCCTCTTTAACAGGTAGGAGGCAGAAAGTCACTGCTGCTGAGCTGGCGGAGTTTGAGGCACAGGGAAAGTGTCTTGGCCTGAAAAAATCGGTGCTCTTCGGTACAAATCACGGTAAGTTCATGTAGAGGGAGATCTTTACAGTCAATACATGACAACAAAGTGGTGCTGTACCATGAAACTGATACCAACTAGGGATGAAACGGTTACCGGTTTAATGATAAACCACGATAAAACTCAATTTATTATTATTAAAACTGTCTTTAATTATGCATCCAGCATCAACCAAACTTAGCAACAGTCTCCCAGACGCAGGTGTAGCAGAGTGCTGAGGAAAGTTGGACCCATGGTGGAAGAAATAAATAAAATTACTCCTAAATGGGGCAACACTTGACCACCACTAATTTATAGCGAATGCAAGGCAAAGTTAACTTTTAGCTCAATGCATGATGTGGCCCTTTGCAATGTCTGTCTAACTTGCTCATAGTTTGTTAATAATGTAAACTGAAGCTTTCAGTGTTTCCTACTCTTGTAAAAACACGACACGTAGCTCTGCTGCTGTATGCATCGCACATCTGCAGACTATATTCACCCACTGCACAGGACAACACGTTACGTAGTTTAGTCAGTTATGCACTGTTAAGGCTCGTGTACACTCACCGTTCCTGACCTGTCGCGCGACAACGTGACGTCAAAATGACGTAGATCTCGCTGGCGCACCAGGATTTTGGCCAGGTCGTGCACCAATCTTTTTTTTCAGCTGAGAGCACCAAAGTGGAAACAGGAAGATGGACGATCTGTACGATCCTTCAATGAAGTAACACCGAGATGCCCAGAGGTGCCAGAATTCATGGCGAGAAATCGCCATGAATGTTGGAAAAGAGGAGGCCATATGCTGGAAAATTTGGAAGAACCTCCGCGCCCGATTTGGAGAATAAAAAATAAAAAACATTTTCTTCTTCTTCTAGTGCCTAGAAATAGCAAAGTCGGTAGCCTTTCCTCAGTAGCGACACCTCTGTTCAGGAGAAGACTGCAACTAGTGTCGTGACCACCACGTGCAAGTATAAATAGTTACGGCGCTCCCGTGGCGTCACATTGTCGCGCGACAGGTTGGCAACAGCGAGTATACCGAGTGCTTTACAGTATGCAGTGCCAAGACAAGATTTATTGTGAAGTTATTACTAATGGTCATGCATTTAGGAATTTTCTTTTTTGTTCCCTGCACAGACTATGAAAACTGCCCGTCATGGGACGACATCGACATGGACGACGACGACGACGACGGCAATCTTTCGGCTGTATTATTCAAAGTGCTTGAAAAAATGAAAAGTAATTTTGCAGTTCCTCTTCTGTGTCTTGTAGAGTCTATTAATTTCTACGAACTCCTGTATGAGTGGGCTCAGGAAACGTGGACTTCTCTTCGGTGAATGTGCTAGGCCACAGCCAGAAACCCACTTTCTCTTCAGGTTTTTAATGGGTCCCTGCTAAGTGCTCGTTTACAGACAGTCTATTAACTCTTTGGGATAATTCAGACTGTTTTAAACACAAAATAACCCTGTAATCAGATATATTACAATCAATAAACATTTGGACATTTTAACACAATTCATATGACCAAAAAAATAATTAAACTTATTATTGTGTTCGTGCACATATATATCTGGAACTAGGAAGCTCTACATTACCACCACTTTATCAATCCATTATTGAATTGAATTGTATAATATTGCAGGAATTCTGCCTTAAACATGTTTATAAAAGTGAACAAAGCACTGTCCCAGCTTGCTGTGATTTATATTTACTTAAAAACTCACTGTCACACTGTCATGACTTGCTGTGTTAACAGTATCGTGAGCTTTTCCTAGTTTAGCCTAAATATAATTTAATGTTAAACCTCTATGACCTCAAATGATCTCTTCAGATTTGTTCAACGATTCAGTGAAAATAAATGAATGAAATGGCAGTTCAGGCTGATTATTTCTTTGGACGATCCTTCATGTTTTAATAAAAAGCTGAACACCATCACCTTTGATGCCAACCAGGAGCAGAAATCAGCAGTGTTGGGGAGTAGGGAACTACATGTAATTGAATTAGTAGTTTAACTACATTTTGCAGTAGCTTGCCGATAGTTCAGCTACATTCATATTTGTCGACGGATTACTTTTTTGTCATATTTTCTGTTAACTATCGAAACTAAAAACAATGTTGGACCATAAAAGGAAAGGAGCAAGGCCCCAACAAAAAACAAAAGCAAGGATGGGATTGTCTTGTTTAGGACAGGTTTAGGGTATTCTGGGAAGCTGGAGTGTTTTTAATGGTCTGAATCTGAATTAGTAAAACTAACAATAACATTACAACAGCACAAAACAGATGACACAACCTTGGATTTCTGGGGTAGGAACCAATCCAGCCCTGAGAGCAGCAACCAGTTGCCAATGACCAGGATTTGTTTGTCTTCTTTCATCTTCACATCTTTAACATGTCTTTAAAACCCCAAACTTTTACTGACGCAAAAACCATGAACACCTTCACATCAGGGAATCAGTGGCAGCTGGTTGAGTGACTGACAGGTGATCTTCAGCTTATTCTGTCGTTGCCTAGCAACGCCAACTCCGACGTCTAAACCTCGATGCTGCGTTTTGCTTTGAATGTTATCATTAAAAAAAATAATAAATAAGACGAAAATAAATTTTTTTTTACAATTCATATATTTTTTAAAAATTTGTATTAAATAAAGCGTCTTATGTGGATTAATAAAGTGTGCTTACGTTTTCCTAAAAACGACAGTAAAGCATCGGCTCTAGGACCCAGGTGTGCGGCAGCCACCAGACACCGGTTGATGAGATGGTCCACTCGGCATTACAACATCTAATTACCCGACAAAGAGCGGCTGTTCGCACCGGACAGAGTAGCGGGAGGTAAACTTAGCAGACGGTGAAGGTGGACTACAATAACGAGCGAGGCGAGAGCATTTTTCGCTTTCTTTGTCAGTCCGCGTCACCCCGCAGCGTGGCAAGAAGACCCGTCGCTTGTCTGTCTCACCGGCGACAACCATGAGCCAGAGGTTCACCGTCTCCAAGAGCGACGGCGAGCGGCGCCCCTCGGACATCCAGGGGGAGGTGAACCAGCTGTTTGAGGGGGACGACCCCCCGACCAGCAGCAGCAGCAACAGCAGCGGCGGCGGCGGCGGCGCGGCGGCGGAGGATGCCGCTGCCGGTACCGAGGTGGTGGTAGTGCTGAAAGGTAGGCAAGACACGCCGGCTTCATTCACCCGGTCTGTTAGCTATTGGCTATGTGCTAGCAGTGCTGATACTCTACGGTGACACCACATTGTCTGTGGACAGATTGTGTGTGTGTGTGTGTGTGTGTGTGTGTGTGTGTGTGTGTGTGACTTGAATCTTTAATGGCCACGTAAAGCCAATAACAGGGGCACTGCAAAGCACACACACACACAATCCCCCTTGTTTCCCCCCTCAGTATTTGAATTGTTGCAGGTGCATTGCGCAAAATATTGGAAGTTGCATGCATGTTTCATGTGTATGTTGACAAACAAAACAGGGCGTGTTTTACTTTTTATTTTGCTCTGTTCATTTTGTGTGACTCAGACATGTTGTGAGCAGTGGTCACTCTGAAGGGCATCAGTTTATTTCCTTGGTAACCCCTCAGTTGTCAGACAGTAGCCTAATATTCTTCATTTCTCCATCTTATAGACCTAACTTTATGTGGCTTGATTTATAGGGTTTATGTACACTTTCTTATATATTAATCAGTCAAGATTTCATCCTCTACACATGCTTGTACACCTCACTGGAAATCTCAGCATGTGAGCAAGGAAACTACCTGCTTTCCTGGCACTGTGGAGATGTCGGTGTCAGTCCGTCTGCGTTTCAACCTTGTTGCTCGTCTTTAAAAATACTGTACTAGCTGGTAAAGTCATCTGGCTCTCTTTTGTGGCTGAGTTGTATGCCAGCTTAGTGCATATATTCAGTTTATAAAACACAGGGCCAATTCCTGTGCTCAGGATGGATTAAGGTAGAATAAAAAAACAGTTAGTCAAACCTTCATCTCTACAGTTAATTTCCTCTAGTGCCCTTGTGAGTAGTCCCAGCCCTGTCTTCTGGGAACCACCGCCATTGTGTTTCAATCCTGCCTCCGACTCACCTGATTTAAAATAATAAAGGTCCTGTCAGTCACAGTCTGAATTGAGTGCAGCAGTGCAGAACAAATGGTGGCGGAAATTCCCATAGGGGCAGAAATGGAAGCCTTTTACCATTACCAATGATTAGCATTAGAAAAAGTGCAATAATTCAGGTCCAGTCAAGTGCAAATAAAGATTTATCTGCTAAGTGAATCAATACATTTCATACTGTGTCTAACCTTAAAGGCTGCTGCATTAATGACATTCCAGATTAATTGGCCAGGCTCCCCAGATCCCTATAAATGCTTTTTATTGCAGCTCTTGATTCATTTCTGTGATTTCCTCTGAAGTCTAGTAGCCTTAGTTAGGCATTCAGTGTGATCCTTTATTCACTGGTCCGAAGCTGTGTGACCAGCACAATAACAAAAACTATAGAATATGCTATTATTTTGTATTTATTTTGTTCACCATCAGTACCTCTCTTACACCTCAACTGGCCTCTGAGGTGAGGAATGAAAGCTTCTAATTGCCACTCCAGCACTCCCTTTCATTGCTACATGTGATTATAGAAATCCTTGGACATTCAAAACATCTCCTCCTGTGCAGGTGAATTACCATAAAAATGCCTCCTCAGCATTTATCCACTTGAATGCCCCAGCGTGCGTCCATCATTCCCTTCGACATAAGATGGCTGTGTGTCTCTGGTTCATAGGAACAAATCTCGCCATCTCCTTGTGTTCCCCTCAAGACATAGGGGAACCTTTTTATTGGAGGACCTCATATATGCTATGCTCTGGCTGAGCTGCAGCCTGCTGGAGACTGGTGTCTCTGCATCCACTTTGCTGGTTGCCATAGCGACACAGTACATTTTCACCAGAGTTTTCTGACAAATGGTCTTGCAATGAGGTGAAAACACTTCAGCTCAAGCATGTACCATTATGAAATCAATCTCTTGATGGGATGGTGTGATATTTTCTCCTTCCTAATTTTTTTTGTTCTGTGTGGCTTGAAATTGTTAATAGAGCAAAAAAAAAAAAAACAGAACAACCATAGATGAACATTGTATTTCTACATCATAGGTAGGAGGCAGCTATATTGTGTTTAAGAGGTTTCTTACTGCTACTTATCTTATTGTTATAGTTGCAGTCCTTATATACACTTTCAATAAAGTGCAAATAAGGACTGGAACTAACAATAATTCTCATTATCGATGGATCTTTTGTTGTTATTTTCTTCATTAATTGTTTTGTTGGTAAAATGTTGAAGACAATAGTGAAAAATGTCACAATTTCCCAGAACTGACATAATCAAAACACAGATAATCAGGTTGCTATCGTCACATTTGAGGAGCTGAAACCAGAGAATATTTAGGATTTTATCTTGAAAAATGCCTCCAAATGATTCTTCCTTTATCCAAATGTTATTGTTGATCTACTAAATGATTAATCGACTAATAAGTTCTGGTGCATAATGATACTAATAGCAGAATAGATGGCATCCTTTCATTGTGTGTGTGTGTGTGTGTGTGTGTGTGTGTGTGAGTTGTTTCAGCTGAAACAGAAGATCTGAGTAAATATAATTCATACTTGAGGGTGTGTGTGTAGAATAAGACTGTGAATGTCTGTATGTACAGGGTTTAATGTAGTTACGGCATTGTTGCCATTTTCCTGGCACGTAATAAATCCTATGTCCAGCAAAGCCGCCATCCACTGTTGTTCTTATTTTTAGCTGGTGGACGAGCAATTTCAGAATTTTCCCCCCTTGGCCTGAACCTGTGATCCTGTTGCTATTGATCCAGAGGGAGGTGTGAGCTCAGCCGACTCAGCCAGCCACTGTGGTTGATGATGACTGGCTGCAGCAGGAAGGAAGATGCTCGTCTGGCTGCCAAGTGCCCTCTCTGCCCTTGATCTTGCAGCGGTATAAAGAGATATATCTTCGTTAGATCCGTTGGGCTCAGTGGAATGGGCTGCAGATGGGCTCAGAATGGGTTAGGTGTTTCTCACCTTGTTGTTGGTAAAACAGGGATGCTTCGAAACTTCCAGAAACCTCATATTTCCAACATTTATTTATTTAAACCAGCAAACCAATTATTTTTTTGACTACTTGGATGCAGCACAGCAATCTGTAAACACACATTGTCATATTCTTTATTGGATAAGTTCATTTGATTTGGATTTATTTAGGAGAGGTCTTTATTTATGAACTGAAAAAGAGCAACAATAGCGTACATTTTGAGTCGTGTTTCTGCACCTGATGAATATAAGTCCATTATTCTTTTTGCTCTATTTGGACTCCACCACCTCCTGAGAGAGATATCTGCCTCTGTAGCTGCTGAGGGCTCCACTATGTTCACCAACTAACAGCTAAACTGTCTGACGTTTAGTGTTGGATAGGACGCGTATAATGAGTTCATTCATTGAGTTTTTTCGCTCAAAAAACCCAGACGCTGCAGGCAGATGGGTGACAAAGCAGTAAATTTGCACACAGTAAGGTTGCAGGCTGTAAAACCAAAACAATGAGCTGAAAGATGCTAAAAAAAAAGCACTGTAGACCAGAGGGGAAGTTAATTTATGCTTTATTGATCCCTGTAGGGAAATTCATTCTCTGCATTTGACCCATCCTAAGTACTAGGAGCAGTGGGCAGCCACTTTGCGGCGCCCCGAGACCGACTCCACATCTGAGCCAGTGCCTTGATCAGGGGCAGTGACTGGAGAAATTAACCTAACATACACACTTTTAATGGTGGGGGAAACCCACAGAAACACAGGGAGCAAACATGCAAACTCCACAAATAAAAGCCCTGCCCCAACCTGGAATCGAACCCACGATCTTCTTGCTGTGAGTCGTCACTATTGCACAGTAATTTTAACCATTATTAATTTAAAAATATTGATCGATACAGCCTCAAGATACGAGTGGAAGCTGCTCAAATCCTTTGGCTTGCTTTCTGTAGCTGCCAAAATTAAATGCAGTTTTTTACACGAGTGAGCAGACCTCCATATGTCTGAACTATTTGGGGCAAATTTGGGTGGTCTCATTTATAACCCCATCTATTATTGATGCACTCTGCTGCCTTGACTCCTGCGGTTTCCAGCCAAGCTGTGATTGCATGTTCGTGTGTACTTGTGGTTTGGTTTTATTAATGTATCAAGAGTAACTATTGTAGCAGAAGAGTTTAAAATAAAATAAAAAAACCCCATACAACTGACATTAATAACCCAGTTTGTCCAGAGCCGACTTGGCTGAGGTTTAATCTGTGTCAGGATGTTCTGTTTCCTTTTGGGCAAATGCAGTCCAGAAGACAATGACACAGCATGTGAGCACAGTGGCAACAACAACAACCATAATCACAGCAACAACACACCCTAATAACCTCATGACAGCAGCGAAAAATAGAGACTTATGTGTTTCCTCTTCCTGGGTTGTCCATTTCTGAGCAAAAAACGAACGTGTGTATTAGTGTCTCAGTATGTATTAATCAGTTTCTAAATGTATATACAGAGCTATTTATGTGTGTGTCAAGGAACAAATGGAATTGAAGCATAACAGGAGTGTACAATTTCCATTGCATTTCCTTTGACTCTAATTTAGACAGTGTATTACTCTGTGTTCAGCTTGTTGTGGTGTCATCTTGTTTACACTGGGCTTTCTCCACCAGACCCAGAGCAGAGCTGAGCAGACCTCTGCATTATTAAAAAGGATAAGGCTGGTAATATTCTTTTTTTTTATTTTTTTTATCTAAAAATCTGGTCATGAATATATACTTTTTTTTTTTTAAGGCTAAATAATGTTGGGGACTATTTTCAGATTATTATTCACTCAAATTTGACTGAAATCCTTATCCAGCCGTTGCCGCCAGCGATTGTGCTCCCATGATAATGGGTTGTTGACTGACCAGATGGAGGATTGTTTGTGTGTTTGTTCAGGCATTTCTGCCCCTGTGCTTTAATGAATGCCATGTAAATAATGGACAACCTCTTTGATATAGAGGTTGATGGTGAACACACATTTTTAGTCACAAAGGCCTATTGTGGATGACTGCTATTGTAGGATTAAAATAGTGGGGTGGCTGTTTTAGTCACTCCAGGGAAGAGTGTGGATACCT